CTGGGAGCCTTAAGGCAAGCCTTCACTGAGTACATGGATTACACATAAACCTCATTGATTAATCAATAGTACATTATGATGCCAGGGACTAAGGTCAATGAGGGTAAACATTTCTTGGAATGTATTGAACAGAAGCATCAGCTGTGAAAGATGAAGAGGAGGACATTTAAAACCAGAGGACGTCCACTACTCCTGTCCACATGTCATAGTGTTAATGAGTAGTGCCTTGCATGGTGTGAGTGTGTGAATATAAGCAACCATTTGTAAACTGCTTTGTCCATTAAGGCAGATAAGTGCATTCCATTTACCATTTAATAGGATATCGGAAGGGATATTTTGAACCCTATAGTTTGGATTTACCGCTTACTGGACATATTAGTCGAGATTTGGGAAAACAAGAAGTTGTCGTGGTAGAGCTAAGGTGGGATGCGTTTCACTGGAAAAATACATCAATCAAACAAAGGTGTTTAAAAATGCTGTACTCCTTTTGAGGCACTACTATCTTTACAATAGATGCAAATATTACAAAACCACAACCAAGGGACACATTTGAAGTGATCAGTGAAACTATTGAAATTGGTTTCCTTGGATACAGCCGCCATTATAAACAATTGGTTACCATCTACTGTACTTCAGCTTTGGTTTCAATAGTGGCTTTGCTTGCTCACACACTTTTGACAGGCTAGATCTCATCAATCAAGCTGTTTATACTCCAAGCATAACTGCTCACTCTTTTGCTTGCACTATTCAAGCCTAAATGTGACTCAATACATATGTTTGACCTCCTGTTAAGACAACTTCTTAGCTACCAGTTTATTAAATGAGGTACTACACATTTTTATGTTGGGATCCTTTTTAAAACCTGATCTTAAGGATAAGTCACGCACTGTAGTAAATACACATTTTAATTTGAACATATTGTTTTAACATAAATAATGTGACAGCAACAGTTATGTTGTGAATTACGAGTTTAAAAAAAGGAATCGCTTTTAGTAAATGCATGGTTCTAAATTAAAGTAGGCGTGTTTCAAGTGGTCAAATTGGAAAACAGCAAAAAACTGTTTCCATCAATCTATATCCTTTCATTTTAAATTAACTGCTGAAAATATGTGAGGCTATTACGATGATTCAAATTAGAGGTTATTTCGTTTTTTATTAATAACTGGCAATCTCTACTGCACAAGCCTACAGTTTGCACCGTGGTTTCATCAAATAGTCTCTTTGTGTGAGCAATGGGGTTCCGACTGCCTACTGATAAAGATAAAGTCATGAATGGATAATTACCACTGTCAGCAGTTATGGTCTCCTGGGTTTGCTTGTTTATGTGTGTGTGTGTGTGTGTGTGTGTGTGTGTGTGTGTGTGTGTGTGTGTGTGTGTGTGTGTGTGTGTGTGTGTGTGTGTGTGTGTGTGTGTGTGTGTGTGTGTGTGTGTGTGTGTGTGTGTGTGTGTGTGTGTGTGTGTGGTGTGTGGTGTGTGTATGGCTGCAGGACAGAGGAGAGACAGGGGGGTGTTATCCTGGTTGTCTCTGTTTGTGCAGTTCAAACCTCCAAGGACTCCGATAATGCAATTTTCAGTAAGCCACGCAGCATTGCCGGAGATAATTAGAGCAGACATGCAGTAACAGTGTCAAAAGGGAAGCAGCTCATTCTCCACCAGCCAGAATATTACAGTCGACATATGAACATACAGTATTAGAGCATGTACAAACATTGTAAAATACCATTATAACGTTTTGACACGCGGCTTTGTCAATGCGCAATTGAAACATGCTTAGCAAATACATCATGATGTACATGTTATGGATCCGCTCCACTAAGGAGATACAAATAGATGAAGACATCGATTTGGGTGGCTTGATGAGGAGGCTGTAACCTTTCGAAAAAAACAGTGTCATATTTCCATCATGTTTTCCACATCATTTCATTTGAATGTTGAGTTGAGCTCTTTTAATCACATACTCTTTTTGTGTCCTCTTCCTCGATGATTAAATGGAATTCAATTGGAGAAATAGCGCCACAACTGTTAACCACAAAGCGCACAACTCATTCCATGTGCACCCATATTGGTAGTTGGTGAATCCACATTTTCTTTTCCCCATTATCTGGACATTTAGTCGTATTTTGCATCCTATGCATACTTAGCTATAGCAGGGTATATGCATGAATCCTGAAGTCAAATGTAATACCTTTTTAAGACCTTTTTTAAGACCCTTTCCATACATTTTAAGACCTCATCGCCACTTCGAGTTTTAACCGGTTACATTGGCGACACACTTTACCTCACATTTACTATATACAGTATTGATTGAAGTATCCTCCTTATCTTCCAACCATTTGGACGCAAACTTGCATTTCCCCCATAACGATGTTGTTGGCGTAAACGGACCTTCGCATGTTATCAAGCAGTGAGCGTGCGATGTCCTGTTCAGATGACGTCAAACCCAACGGGATGCCATAAATAAACTACACAGAATCACACTGCACACCTACGCAATGATTACATTCAGGCAAACTGTAGAATACACCCTCTTTGGACAATTTATATACTTATTGAAAACAAGCTACAAATGTAATACCTTGGAAAATGCCGTTTAATACTTTTTAATAGCCTTAATTTTCGCTAAATTGATTTATCAACTTTTAATACTTTTTAAGACCCCGTGGACACCCTGTATAGGAGTCACCAGGTCAATCATATCATGGACATTGCAGTTGCACAATATGGGTTTAAGACCATTGGGCACCAGAATATCCCCAGCACAAGTAGTAGTTTCTTTAAATAATAATTAATTTACCTTAGTATGCGTTATTCTAGGTAGGAAGGAAATCCAACAACCGGACCTTTTTCAGCTGTTTATTACTGGACGTCAACATTTTAAGGTTTATTCTCTTATTGGCTATATAATATGAGTTAGATGACTGTCTTCAAACTACTAAATGAACTAAAACTTCCACTGTGTTTTCATGAGATGGTTAGCTGTTGTACTGTTGAACGCTGCTACTAGGGTTAGGGTTAGGGTTAAATATCAAACATAAGTCTGTTTTTTCTTAGTTGATACTTTGCCATAGTGGAACCAATAAGAGAAGAGCCATCAGAATGGAAAAATACGCTATTAAGATCTGGTGGTGGGATCTATGATTGGTCATGTATTGACGTACATATACTGAACCCTGGTTCGTGGAGGACACCAAAAAAGTCCTAGAAAGACAATGTAAACTTAACTAATGTGCATTTAAAAAAGAGGAATAGTTTCGGCGAAAACTAAAAGGTACCATGGGGTACAGGAATTTTGGTTTCAAGACCCTGGTTTGCGGGGGATACCAAAAAAGTCTTAAAAAGACAAGGTAAACTTAACTAATGTGCATTTAAAAAAGAGGAATAGTTTCGGCGAAAACTAAAAGGTACCACCAAGATTAGAATGTTCCAAAGGGGGTTTCGTTTAGCATGATACACTTGAAATAACTGAAGGATAATTTAAAAAAGAAAGTAGAAAGTGAGGTCATAGAAAACTATTTCTGCTAAAAAGTTAGCAATGATTGAGAGTCAGACCTAAACATTTCAGCTCACACTGCACTGTAACTTTTATTATTTTATTATCTTTGCTTTTAAAGGTGGGGTAGGTAATTTTGGAGAAACCAGCTCGAGTGCGCTGGAATTTGAAAATACACAGCCGGAAAAAATCTGCCACTTCCTTACAGAGCCCCTCCTCCAACACACACGAACGCGCACATGACCAATGAGGGCACGAGATAAGTGTGTGCACAGATGGAAGGCTGACAGGCAGGTAGGCCATCCAGTTATTTTAGCCGGGCCGGCTAAAATGATTGGTCGTGCTTTTTACAGTATTACGGCTTCCACAGATGACATTTTTTTATGGATTTTTTGTCAAAGCACTTAAGATATTCATTGCTATCGGGATGTTAAGAGCATTCCATGGAATATAACAAAAAGTGTATCTCGAGCCGGTTTCTCAAACTTACCTACCCCACCTCTAAATGAGTGTCTTTAGATGCCATTTTATAATATGTTTCTTAATGCTCTTAATGTCTTTCATTTTTGTAAAGCACTTTGAATTGCCTTGTGTTGAAAGGTGCTATGTAAATAAACTTGCCTTGCCTTGCCTTGCCTTACATGTGGGACCTTTTGCACAAAAGTTAAGGCACCTTGGAGAGACCGGTTGTTTGTCATTGTCTTCAAAAACAACCATAATGAGTGGTTTTTAGTCACGCTAGCAGTGTGGATCTTAGTATGGCTTTATCAGTGGCACTTCAATGGTCCTGACTGGAATAACTTAACATCTTTTGGATGCCATGCATGTTGAATCATGCATAATAAAACAGAGAGAGCAGTCATTACTCACACAATCTCTTGTCAGGCAAGTGTAAACCCAAGTGGTTATAAGCGTTTGACCAAACAATTAATGCTGTCTTTTTGAACAAGTGCACCTTAGAAAACATTTATTGTTGTTCCACCATTGTGCTTCAGTATTTCTACATCTCAGTGTGTCTCCATTAATTCAGACATCTTTGTGACTGTCAGTTTGACTCAGGTCTCCATTGGCAATGAGTAATTTCATCTAGATATCCTGCACACATCACCCAGCCAGGGGACTCTCAGAGAACTTTATAATTATACACTGAACAGCTCCCTTGACTGATTAGTTAATAACTTTTGAAGAACACATAATTTCTCTAAAAGCCTTGTGTCAGTCACTGTAATAGAAATACGTGTTGGAAGTGTTTTTCAGACCCCAAACAAAAGAGACTCATACAACAGCAGATTGCTATTGTTTCGGGAAAGAAGAGTTATTTGTCAGTGTCAGTGTATAATTAATATCTGCAAACATAGCCTCGTCAGCTGATGACACTGTGGAATAAAGCTATCTTAGTGCTCCATTCATTCTTGCTCTGTGTGTCACCAGTGGGGATCTTATGTAATAACTCATGAGTCAGTGATTTTTCTCTATTGAAAAGTAAATACAATTGTTTTTTCTTTACAGGTTCCATTACAAGGTGCTCCTACATCAAGTATCACTACTCCTCGGCTACGATACCTAAAAACATCTCCCCCAACATCTCCAAGACAATAAGGCAGGACGAGTGGCACTCCCTCCGTAAGTCTGCTACGATTGAATTCTTTCTTGACAGCAAATCACTTTTTTTTATACCTGGAAATGCTTTAGGCTGATTACATTTCATTTCTCTAACTGAGAAATGCAGAATATTTTTAAATAACCAAGGAAGATACATAGAAATACATTAGCCGCCGAGTTATTCAATGCTCTGTCCTATCTTCAAATTGAATTGACTTTCCTCCCTTGAGCTTTCAGTGCCAGCTGTTAATCTTAAGTAGGAACGTGTCATTGTGTTCAAACACAGAGCACACTTTAGCCTTCATTTCATGTGATTTCTTTATTTGCTCAGGAAGTGTGCTGTACTATTTCATTTTCACTGCTCTCCTGGGGTTAGGGTTAGCAGCAAAGTGTTTACTTGATTAAACTCTTTGTTTTCATAGTTAATTTAGGGAAATTGTTACAGGAATCAAACCAACCACATTTCCAGTAAGGTGCAATCTCTTTAAGTAGTATGCCATGCTGCTGGTCAATGATCAATAATCGTTGATGGTACTTTTATTTCAAACTGCATTCATCCATACAACCACTTCCCGTTCCTTTGCAAAACATTTCATGTGCCATGTGTTACAGACAATAACCACCAACCCTTTTTAAAGAAATGCAGTTCAAAACTACATATAGGAAGCATGACAATAACTGAACAACTAATTTAGAACTGGAATACTATTAAAAATCCTTACTGTGGATGATATCGTGTCTCTCTGTACATCTAGCTGTTCTTGGTGACCTTGACCTTTTTTTTTACTGGATCAAATCCTATCTCACATTGGGTAGAGGCGGGGTTCAACCTGGACCCTAAGTCACCACCCTTAGATGTTAAATGTCACAGATGTTAGGTATCGAATTTAATGTAACGTTTTTCATGACATGTTCTAAACCCATGCATGGTTCCAAGGGCACACATGCTTATGATGGCTCTGTGGCAAAGATCGTCAAGTTCAAGGACTAACACCATTGACATGGTTTTTGCAATTTACTGTGCACTCCAACCTAGGCTTCCTCAATAATCTTTGATAGTTTGGTTAGTGAGTTGATCAGTCTATTCAACCACCTGGTTATGTTTCCAAGGATTAGTTCCAGAGCAAAAGACTGAAGACTCAATTCATCCTCATGTCATTGTATACCTTTGATTGACACTTTGGTCAAAGCTAAGTTGACCAACTGACTTTTTTTTTTAGAGCCATTATCAGGTTGTACTGTACATTGAAAGAGTTCAACAGTCAAAAGCATCTTGATATGAAATTCACAAGGATTAATTCTCCATTCTATCCATTTTGGACGTTTACGGAGTTTTCCCCTTTTCATCCAAACTCAGTTTCAAATGTCAAATTTGCACATCGTATATCTCTCAATTTAATTAGTAGATTGTAATGACATTTGCTCAAAGCAATCATGTTCCTCAGGGCATAAATCCTTTTTATTTGACAGTTTTTACCCCAAGGGCTTTTCCTTTAGTGGCCCCTCAAAACAAATGTTATATATATTTTGTTTACTTTCAGTCATACTAACTGCGTGTTTGTGTTTTATTTGTCCATAAGTCCTTCACCTGTAGAAAATAGACTTAATAGTTGAAGGGCTTCTTCTCCTCAGCTCTGTGTGCCTGTTAGATATCAGCAGAAGTGCTGTCAGAGGAATCTAACGAGAATCTATCTCCTTTAAGATACCTGCCATTCATGTGTTGTAGCTCTGGGCTTGTTGTAGCTTGGCCACTGAGCCGAGTGGAAACACACTTTGACCTCAAACTGTCACTGTCTTGGTCTCAATAGCCCTCGACTGTCAGGTGACAGGCTTGGGAAAACACATCGTCTCTCTCTCTCCTAACGGCAGAAGACTGCTCTGTTTCTTCTGCCTTATTCCCACCATGCATCTCTGTTCTACAAAGAAGGAGAAAAAGGTTTCTGTTTAATGGCTTATCAGCAGCAAATCCATGGTAGATGATTATATTATGTTTGGATTATTGTATTAATTGAAAGGTTTATTTCCAGGCATTTTATTTTATTTACCATGCATTGAAATAGAAACGCCTGAGCAGAAACCACTGTTGCTTGTCTGCTGTTGAGGCATACAGTAGGCTTTCAGCAGTCAATGGAGGACCTTTTTTTCCTCCAGCCTAAATTGGCGAAATCAGTGCATTGCATTTGTTGAACCATTTATAGCATTACACTCAGCTCTAGACCAAAAGTTTCCCACCAGGAGATCATCGACCCCAAATAATCCATTGTAGATGGGCTTTTTACTTTCAGCCAAGGACAAAAGCGATAACATTATTGTGCTTAATGAAGGAGCTGCTGCTGTGTATGCAAATGCTCTGAAAAATACTTAAGTTCTTGTTCATTTTCTACTTTGGTTGTGACTCATATTCATCGGGACAGAAAGAATGTGTTATATCTTCACTATCTTGGCTATATCTGGAAAACACATAGCTTATATTTATGGCAGGAAGGTCACCCCTCTCCAGTCAGAGATGTTTAATGTCCTTATTACCAGGCCTATCCACACAGCATCTTAGTGTGAGATAACTCCACTCCTCTAACCGATGGCCCTGTCACTACGATGTGGGTATGAAAAGAAAAGGAAAAAAGCAATAGGCAAAAGGGTGAATAAACAATGCCCTGTCCACTGAGTGAGCCGATTGCGTTCACTCCCGAATCAATGAGAAGGGCCAGATTAAATCACAGCGCTGAATGACCCACTAATTAGAAATTGCATGTAGGCCTTGAACTGACGAGTCTCAGGGGACAGTCAGCTTCTAATGAGTCTTTGGTCTGACTGTAGATAAATTGACCGTGGATCTGATCTAACACACATTCAGACGGACCGTCCTGTAAAAGCTGGTTTCGTGACTATCCGTGACACACGACCTAAAAGATTCAGCTCTGTTCACTCCAGCGGAAAACCTATGTCTGATGTTGCATGGCAGCTGGATTCCCGTAATATCACGACATCACGCAGTTCGTGAAATCACACACATTTCCATCTTGTCAGTATGTGTCCAATCCCACATGGCTGCACAAAAATCGGCCTTCTACCAGGAGCCACTGACAGCGAATATAGTTACACTTGATCGGAGTAAAACAATACGTTTGTGCCATGGAAAGACAAATGCATTTACACCTTTTTGACAATTGGCCCATTTGTCTAAGGTTGCATTTGATCCAAATCAGGCATTGAGGCGATAAGCATAGGCTCGTAAGGGTGTGCCTATAGGCAGGGGCGGTTCTAGGGGGGGGGGGCAAAAAAAGGTTAGAATATTACGATTTATTGGGACTAAATCAAATCAGAGACCCGGATGTACAGTGGAGATTCAACTGTTCATAACCTTATAAAAGCAAATATTGTTTATGTTTTTTTATTAAATTGTCACTTAAAGTTACTAAAACAAATACTCTAAATGAAAAAAACTACTGAAACAAAGGACCGTAACTTAAATGTACTAAAACAAATACCTTTACAAAAACAAATAACAATTACTGTATGTTATGTTTATTTTACACAATTACTTTATACTGCCTTTGTTTTTTTAACCCGCTTTTATTATGCCCCTCTCATGAAATAACTGGCCCCCGCCTGGCCCACCCAGTAAAATTGGTCTAGAACCGCCACTGCCTATAGGCCACAGCAGTGTGACGTCGCATCGTGTTTCTACAAAGGTTAATTCTGTTTCAACTTTGGGGCACATTTATTTCCCATATTCAAATAAAAAGGAAGGACCTGCGTTTTCACCGCCTGATTTGGTCTAAATAAGCCTAACACACTCTGTGCAGCAAAGACCTTGGAAGTGGAAGAGCAACTACTGCTTTTCACGGATGAGTAACTCCACTTCAGCTCAGCCATTTAAGACTGTTTGGTCAGCAGGCAGCAGAGTTTAATAGTTTGCTGTTCAACTTCAGAGACGTCCTGGACCAAATCCACCCACAGAGCCTCAGGCCTTGTATGGATTAAGTAAGAATGACAACCTAGCCTTGACTTTCATGAAGTGTGTGAAATTGAGCTCAGGCAGGCCTGACAATTTTTCCCTCTCCCATTACATAGATTTGAGGAAACCGTGGGGTGACATTGACACCGCTTCAAAGACTCAGATATGAACACGATACTCATTTGTTTCCGTCAGTCAAAAAAGCTGCAGCGGCACCAAAACCAAAACCCTCTTTTCTGTTGCTGCTGAACATCAAAGCAACAGCAGAGAGTACACAACATCCCTTCTGCCACCCCCATTGTCTGTCACAGATGCAGACAGCAGCGAGGATGCATACATTTTTTGACACTGGCTTTTAGAGAGGAAAGGATGAAAGGAGGTTTTCTCATACTGCAGCTTAGGGATTTTGTTACTTCAAAAGAAAGCATAAATTGTGAGCTGGGGAAAGCTGTCAATGAGTGACAGCGTATAATCCAAGGTAGCAGCTAAAGGTTGTGGCTGAGGCTAATTGTTCACCAGGCAGCCACTCCCACTCAATCTCATCAAGCTGATGTGGCTGCTGCAGTCGGTAGATTATGCGCTGAGCGGGCCTGCATGAAGATGACAGGGATTTAAGTCATTGTGAAGCATTGATTCATTGCCATTTCAAATCTTTGTCGCTGCTTTAATCCTGTAAACCTGATAAAGTAGATCCTCCAGCCTCCACCCCATCGCAGGCTCTTTCACACTTCCAAACAGCACAAACAGAGAGTGTGTTTTTGGCTTTCTTGGCTTCAACTAGTGTGATTCGTCAGTTGGCCAATCTATGTTGTACTTTCCGGAGTTTTTGTGGCATTATTTAAGTTTGGATAGGCTGATTTGGAGAAACCAGCTAAATAAAGATAGATTTTGAAAGTATCTAACTAGGAGATTCAAGCCAATCGTATAATTATTTTGAAAAAGGAACTTTGAAGATGCAATAGACTGGTATGCTGAGTAAATGTTTGTTTTTTCTGTATGATCTTGTATTTTGGCAGAATAACAAGGACCTAAAGTCAGAATATCTTTAAAGCTTCACTTCTGA